TCTAATGTTTTTTCAATATTAATAAGCATAAATAATTATTCGTAATTACTTTCAAATACTTCATACTTCACAAATTGTCGACCCATCCACTTTAATTTAGGTCTTATTATCAAGAAAAAAATCAATTATTACTAATAAAACCAAAAATGATCTGAAATAAATCTCTCATTTTCTTACCAGACAGAGATTTCTTTAGACATTCAAAGTGAATGTAAGCAGGCACCGAATTCGAAAGTATAGCAAATCATCTAATGTCAGCATTGAAAATAGACAAATTTGTAATTCAATTCCCTGATCTGATTGGCCATCAGGGCCTGAAAGCATGTCAGCTGTCAAAGTGGGCCTGACTTTTAATATTAGTTGACTGGAGATTAGAAACACCATTTATACATTCTCACTATTGTTGGTCTGCATTCATTGGAATAAAATTGATTTCTATGAGATTTGAACGACATATCCTTTTCAAAGTTTATTGACGATGACCTTTACTTACTGAATTACTTATTGTAATTAATATATACTTTTTGAATCAACTTATTATTCCAGCATTTCTGAAATTTATTAGGTTTAATAATGTCATATATATCGTATGGAATTCAGGTCTTTGTAGTGTGGAGAACACCGTTCAACCCCTCGCATCTTGTAAATTTAGCTCAAAGTACCTTTAGAACTAGTTAACAGAACTTCATTTTGAATAACCAAAAGAAAAAAGGACCAATTTATATACAATTAAAGGTCCTTTAATGTACCAATTTGATTTAGGGTAATGCTAAAAAGTTACGTGAAAATTTGTTTTCGTTTTGGAATTTTGAACATTGTATGCCCTGAATAATGTCACTTGATTACCAGAGTCACCAGTGATACTAAATACAAGGCATTTGAGGCTTTATTATCTGAGTTATGAAATTTTAATGAAAGTTTTTTAGAGGTTAGATCAGTTGAAGGTTTTGTAAATTTACTCAGGACAAACTATAGTTGGTTAATCGAAATGAATGGCAATATAAGTCCCAAAAGTATTGTAAAAAGTATCAATTTTTATGGCATTAGTTCATGGAATGACAAGCGCATAGTAAAGAGGAGCGTGTTAAAAGAGGCTAAGAAGGGAAATGACTGAGCAACAAGGCTTCTTCGTACCTAGTTTCGGTTTTATGGATTACAGAAGCCACTCGTTCAGGCGTTCTGGCGGCAAATGACCGTTTGATGTTCTAAATATATTTGCGTTTTCTTTTCTCATCACTTCTTATGTTAGAAATTTCATTTTCATCATCTAAAGGTGCTTGTATAAGATAATAAATTAAAGCGATATGGGTTGGTTGCTTCTGATCCAACTCAAGGCGACTGATTAATCATTGCTTGAAGCATAGCTAAAAGCTACTTCTATGTTTTAATCACGGAAAAGCATTGCTATGAAATGAAGATCAAATGTGTTGAAAAAATGTAAAGTGAATGGATGGTTATGAAACAAATAGTTACAGGGATATAGAGGATCATGAGCCTCATTTTTGTTTTAATGCGGTGGCAGTGTTTTACTCCATACGCTCAAATTGTAATTCCATAATGCTCAACTTCTAATATTAGTCTCTACTTGATTAATGAATCAAATTCCTTGGTGAATCGATTAATTCAATTCTTCCTACGGCCGAGCCCATTTAGATATGAGAAACAACGCTGAACCAAGCGTAGCCCCAACTTTATGAAGTTCAGCCAAGGCGTGTAGAATATTAAAACCCTCAATATCTCATGCAGTATCATCATCCTAGTCATCACCAACATTATCTCTTTTAGGATTCAATTTAAAACTTTAACTTATAATATTTTCAATATATTCTCCATTTTCATCATATTCCACGCCATTAATGTTTCGTCAGCCATTTAGTGAGAACTAAATGTAGCTTGCCAAAGGTCCAACTTACATCTATAAATATAATTTGGAATTGTTGATTAAGCTATTCATGGGTTCCTACAAGCTCATTTGTCCCATTTTCAAACTAAAATTTCGTTTTCGATAATTTACAAGTTGCCTGTTAGTTCCTTTTCATTTTCCAAATAAATCGTGTATGAAATCTCCTAAGAGTTTATCCATTTCATTTTAATAAATGGCTTAAGTAAGGCTCACATTATGAACTAAAAAATCGACATTTGTGGCTTCATTAGCCAATCAGACTGGTTCTATTGTTGAAATGTTGAGCTTTATACCTCATCCCTATTCAAAATGCGAATCAATCAGTATCCGAGTATCGGTAAAGTGGTCAATGACATAGAAGATCATTCTTCCGCTTCCCTCAAGACACTTACCTCACTATCTTTGTAACTTATCAAAAAAGTTTTGTCTAACTTAGGAGGTTAATGCAATCCTATTGGCTTATAAGCAATATAGCATTTGAGTTGTATTGGGCTATGAACATAAATTGATTTTCATCTATTTCTTCTTTGATTACCCTTAATTTGGCCTCATTAAGAATATTAGGCTACTATATTTTTGGCTAAAAATTCGTATTTAGTGATTGAAAAATATTATCTTAATTACTGGCTTTCATCAGTCTCAAGAAATCATAAGATAGGAAGTAAATCAACTTCTCATATCCTGATGGATGTAAATTTATTGGCCACCTCTATCTTGATTGAGCTATTTGAAAAGAATATATCACCACAGTTTAGGGGGTACAAATTGTACTTTCTTTCAAGTATGTGGAGCATTTCATTCTTCATCGATTTAAATTAAATCCCAATTTTACCACTAACAGTAATCTGTGCATATTAGCACCCAAATAAAACATATTTGCTCTAATAAATAGTTATTTTGAGGCCAATATTTCCAATCACCCACTCGCGTAGTTCTTGTAAAATATGTGCAAAGCTAAAGACAATGAAAACATGAAAATGGAATGATATAATAAATGGACATTTAAAAAGGAATTACATGATAAATAGTTTAAGTTCCACTGAAAGGTGTTCTCGCAAATAAGGTTGATTCTCATAGAATTTTTGGACATTGAGCTCACTTAAAGTGCATAAAATCTGTACTGCAATTAATGTCTCTTTTCACAAATTAGTCGTTCAACACAGATCGATGGTCATGTATTTGAAGGCAGAACATAAAAGTCTCAGTTAATAACAAATATAATCTGAATATGAGGAGACACAAGGCCCATTCACCAAAGCTGAATGTCAATGCATATGTGTTTGAAGGATTGCTTAAGTTAAATAATAGGTTGTAAAATTTTTGTTGGATGTTTACTAAAATTACTTAAGTAGAAATAGAGGTAGGATTTTTAATGCTTAACAATGACAAGACAGTGAGCTTCAATGACAATGACGCACACTGCACCAAATATGCTTCATTCAATAATAATAGCTATAATTTAATTAAGCATGCTTGCACGACGCATTTGATTGGGCCCTTAACAGGACGGATATGAGTTAACCACACTCCAGTACTTTGTTGATTCTAATTGTTGCTTTCTTGAATGCGTGTACCTAAATTGAGGACCGCTTTCTCCGCACTACTTCGGCGCACGAACTACATCAGGACATCTCTCGATGTTTTTAAGAATTCAATTTTTATCGATACACAATGAAAGTCAATTAGACGAAAATTAGGAAATAGGTTAAAAGTGTACAACGGTTAAAATTTTCCGCTAGCAAGATGAAAATCGATACTAACTGCCTTGAGATTCCACCAGGACAACAAAAGGTTTGCAAGAAGGTAGATAAGATGACGCATTTTTGTGGGAGAATGTGAGTAAATCTATGGATTTTGGTTGATATTTGCATGTCGTGTATAATAGCACCTACGACCTGACCGACGATTTAAGCTTTCGGCTTCTGCTGACCCAATTGGCATTTGGGTTTGAGGGCAGTGTTTTAAATGCCCTACAATTTTAAATTCACACAACTTAATGTTGAAAATGGATCTGATTGGAATCTCATTTTCTCTATAATCTAAATCAATTTATTTCACCAATTATCAAAATCTGGGGGGTGAAAATTTAACAAATATTTTGAAGAAATCAATTTGTAAAATTTTTTTATTAGAAAAAGTTTTTAACAAAGTTGTGTTAAATTGAAAAAAGAGCCATAACGAGAATTGTGTTAGCGGGAGGGCATAATTTCAGATAAACATAATCCTGCATTCCTTATTGATTGATCAGAGTAGAATACTGCTCTTTCATGTTCTCCTGGCTGCCTGCCTGATTTGCAATATTTGAACGATACGAAAGGTATGACCACTGCCACAATAATAACCACCCGAAAAGGATTGCCCAAATCCAAGGTGTGATTCCGTTTGAATCTGTTTGAACTAAAATTAAAAGAAACATTAATTCGTACTGATAAGGTAAAAAGTGAAGTAGTCAATGAAGTAAAGCAAGAAAATGTTTTCGCAATATTAACCCAGAAAGTAAGATAACTAGAACGAAAACACCCCAATTCATTGCGTAAATGTTCGAATTTCGGGGTGCGCGATAGACTTACCTCCACGTCATGCACCCTGGACAACGTATCTTCGTACGGCAAAAAGTCTATCACTTGGCATTTGAATTGACCTCGATTTATTATGATTAGCTTGAAAAAGGCTATAAGAGAAATCGCTCTCGTCAGGGCGAATCACAACGTCTACAGATCCTCAAGTGGAATGCTGGAGGGATGTCACAGGACAAAAAGTTCCAAGTACAGAAAATCCTACAAACCTATGATGTAGACATTTCACAATTATGGAAGCAAACATTTCGGATGACAAACTGAAGTACTACCAATTCCCAGGTTACACCCTGTACCTTCTACCTAAATACCGGCAAGTTGCAAGTGGAATCCTAACTGGATTAAAAGAAGGTCTCACCTCACACTACGATCTAATCAAGAGTATGGGCTCGACACAAGACTTATGTGAAATAATCAGATAAAATGTTTATAAATGTCAAAACCACTTCAAGGTATATGCAGTCTATAATCCACCCCAGAATTGCCCCAATTTTGAATTTCTGAACACCTCACGCAGAACTATGTTATTAGGAGACTTCAACGCCCATTCCACCAGATGGGGCTACAAAGATACAAACATAGCTGGAAAGGAAATTGAAGACATACTAAACAGCAACCCTCTGGTACTTATTTACAGCAATGAGGATTCGGCTACATATTTGCACTACAATGGAACCAGAACAACTCCTGACTTACTCCTGCCTTCAAGCGACATCAGCGAGCATACACTCTGCAAAATAATTGACGATCCTGGTTCTGGTCACAAACCAAAAGCAAAAGCATGACATGGAAAGTACCAACTAAGCTATCATGGAATTTCAAGAAGGCTGACTGGCCTAGATTCACAAACCTTTTAGAGAATGAACTTCACACAAGTCCCCTCAACTTCAACCAACATCCTGACAAACTTTGCAACAATATCACGAGTATTATGATCCGATGTGCAAAGAAAACTATTCCCCAAGGCAAGACTAAACACTATCGAGTGTTTTGGTATAGACACCTTGAGAAACTGAAAAGAAAGAGGGACGCCCTTCGCAACACTGCTGATCAGACTGGAAGAACGAAAGACGTAAAAGCCTGGAGACGACAATCAGCTGTTCTAAGACAAGTCCTCTTGCAAGCTACACGAGCTTACTTCGACAAATTCATCTCAAATATCAACTATAAAAATGATAGCCAACGCACTTTCAAATTCCCGGGTGACATTCAAAACAACCGGCAAAGACCCAAGAAAGAACCAATACGTTTAAAAAACAAACAGCTTACCACCGACTCCGAAATAGCTAACTGCTTTGCAAGGTTATATTCCCACAAGCAAAAGGAAAACACTTTTGTCAGAAAATCTTCAAGAGATTTAAAGATACAAGTAAGACAGTTGGGTGAAATTAAGGAAGACACGACAACACCAAATAATGTATTTACTGAACCATTCAGACCTTGCAAACTTAATGCTGCGATAAATCAACTAAAGTGCAAGAAGGCTCCTGGCGAAGACNCAGCCACAGAGGTTACTCTCAAACCACTCGAGAAGGCACACAACCAAGCATTACGACTAAGTACTGGAGGGATAAAATCAACACCCATTGATGCAATGCTCCTAGTTACAGGAAGATCCACAATATGTTCCCTTATCAAAGAAAAGGCCTTGATCCTGTATGAGAAGCTACTGTGCATTCCCATGGATAAGTTCTTCAGCACCTATGAGAATAGACCAAGACATCTGAAAACGCAATCTGCTCTAATGCAGAAAGCCATAGAAATGAAGAAAGCATTGCAAATCGATGACAAACCAAAAAGCCTCCCTCTCCCCGTGAACTCATTAACAGACACTGATGTAGTGTGTTGCAACCAACTGCTTGACTTCTTCAGGATAAAAAACACCCCTCCAGAAAAAATGTGCTCACTGGCCCTTGAGACAATCAATGTCAACTATCCTGTAGATCAATGGCTCCACGTCTTCACTGATGGGTCATACATAGAAAACCAAGCAAACATTAGTGCAGGTGTCTTTTCTGAACTCTTCTCTTTCTACACAGCAGCGGGACATAATAGATCCGCTTTTGGAGGAGAAATAGAGACCATTAGGTGAGCACTATGTCAATTATGTTGCCTGAACACGAAATTCACCAAAGCGGTGATACTTTCGGACTCACAGTCAGCAATAAACTCAATTGGGGACAGAGAACCACCCAAAACAGCTGAGATAAAGGAATGTAGAGAATTCTATGAGCTGCTGAGAGAGAAAAACAAAACACTGGTCCTACAATGGATTCCTGGTCACTGTGGCATTAAAGGCAATGAGCTTGTTGACACACTTGCTAAGAAGGGGAAAACGATTTTGCAATGCATGGACCGGTCGATGTCTTTCCACACAATGAAGGCCTTACTCAGAAGAGAATTCAAGATCTCAAGGTGCAACGAACTTTAAGCTCGAACAAAGGAAAAACAGTGGACAGAGGCACTCTCCGTGATAGCCGACTGGCCAAAAATCGAAGCCATTTCTGAGTTTAGACTACGTACCGGACACGATTGCTTGGCAAAACATCTTCACAGATTGGGAGTATGCACTCAACCCACATGCCCCCATTGTAACCTACAAAAGAAAATAGAGAAGACCCACCTGATTCGATGTCCAGCCCTAAAGACAATGACGGAAAGCCAGAGATACTGGGAAGCTAGAAGTCGGCTAATGAACTGTCATATATGTTCCCCCCCCCCCACCCCTGGAGGTTAACGATAAATATCACAAATCCTGCCATTTGAAATAATAAAAATAATGTGATGCACCTTAGAGATTTTGTTAGTGTTATTAGCTCACAACTGGTGTGCTGAGAGAGGAAGTGAGATGGCTTGTGCCTCTTAAGTCAGTGAGAGTTCCATCTCTAGCATTATTATTATTATTATATCAAATGGCAGGCGGTTTGATGGTTATCGTTTGCCCTTTAGTTGACTTCAGGTTTCACAGAGGGGAAGGAACATCAAAGTGGATGATGGTAGTTTGATGTCGTAGGTCAACTGCCGGTTAATAGACTTTTTTGCCGTATGCGTATACGTTGCCCAGGGTGCACCACGTGGAGGTAAGTCTATCGCACACCCCCCATCTCTAACATTACAATTGAATCATTCACTTCTAGTCTCCTTCAATTTACGCCAATCAGCAATGTGGATAAGTATAATATTATGAAGCTGCATAACTTGACAACACTTTGGCCAGACGGTTGGTCAACACTTTCATTGCATCAAAGTGGTACTCCCCCATTTGACTGTGGACTACAAACAATTTCAAATTACACTGATTTCAGAGCCAAATGAGATCGAGGGCAGTGAAACGATGAGGCCAGCCAATGTCATTTCATTAGCTTCAATTATAGATATTGCAAGTCAGACATCTGAACTTTCCCTACCTACCTCAAAATATACAGTAGAGAGCATAATTCGTGATTGGAGATCTGCATTAATGACAAGGAGCACTCACTGCTACTGCTTTCAAGCGAGACTTCCCAATCGAAGGGTGACTTATCGAGGCCATTTCAAAAAGCTAATTCAAAAGTAATTATCTCTTTCCAATGAACTTGCACATTTTGCACCAACATGATGAATGCAAATGAGAGTATTCAAGAGCATTCTATCATTCGTCTCATACTAACTTACTAACTAACAAAGTAAGTATCTGAATCAAGGAGATTACTGTTCTCTTCCACAGTGTACAAGGCACATCTCATCAATTATTTCCACCTTTTGCTATCAAAGCATTACGAAAGCACTGTGATTCAAGTGAAATTCCATTACTCACCACATAGTAACTAACTTACTCACCGATTCTGCTGTTCTCACGCAAAGGTGAATGAGAAGCATCACTCCTGTACTTTCTCAAAATCAATAACTGACTCACCATAAGTACCATTACCTTGCACAGATGGATCACTTCCATTGGTTCTTATTTCCGCACCTAAAGCGTTACAAATGCATCGTCAATCACGAGCACAATATTAGCAGAATTGAAGTGGATTGTTTGACATTCTGCTCTTCCAAAAATGCTGCTCTGAGTACACTTCTAAGTAATAGTATAGAAGTTGCATCTTATCATTCATCTCATTCTCATATCTACTGCTGGTGTTGGCAGTAACTAATTAACTAACTAACTTACTGATGGGCCTGTTTCGCACTGCTGGTAAATGAAATACTTCACTCCTCTCTCCCCTATTTCGCTTTCATTACAAAAGCAACTAACATCTTGCAAACTCACCGTTGCTCCTGTTCCCAGCTACAGGTGCATAAGATGGTTCACTCAAGTTCATTACTGCTGATGGTTCTAAAGCATTACAAAGAATATTTTCAGTTAAAACATCAAGTCTGGAGATTTTGTATGGGTTACTTTGACATACAACTGTCAAAAATACTGCTCTGAGTGAACTTCTATTCATGTGGAAACGACAATTCGTCAGACTCAAACTTTCACAAATCAGTCTCCAACAAATAGAAACAGACAAAATCTTTTACTACATGAAGTTGACTCAGTTGTTTGCATTCCAAAGACTTTGTCTACTTACACAGGATAGCTTTGGAGGATATGAGCAAAATGATCAGTGGTTTGTGTTAATTCAAGTAGACATGTCTCTTGGAGTTCAGTGACATTCAGCCAAATGATCACTTGTGAGGGGCTAATCACATCTGAGCATACTGCGACACTAGTGAGATATCAAATAGGCCTACATGTATATGCAAAAGCTGTGAACAGTGGTTGAGTCAAGTGAAGTACAAAGTCCACTCCAAATATGTAGACTCTGGAATCAGATTGACCGAATAGTTCAAGTAGATTCGATGAGTAGAGTCATCCTCAACTTAACACTACCTTCCCCATACATACACTTCCTCCTCCAAGGACGTTGAATGTGTGGCTGTCTATGTATAAGAATAATGCTCTTCTTATTTTCTAACTGACATTTATAGTGTGGAATTGAGGAAGCATCATAGAATTAATGGAATCGAACCAGCTGATGAGCCGTACTTTTACTTCGCTTCCCACTTCTACGTTGACAAATTTGCTGCAGATGAGTCATAACATTGCAGCATATAAAGTGCTTTAAGAAATCTTTTCCGTTTACACATTCGGTAAGAATCAACTGATTAAAAATGTGGAGAAAGGTTAAAACGACAAATTGATCAAAATATTGTGNCGCGAAGGTGAAAATCGATACTTACTAATTTGAGATTGCACCTTGGCAACAAGAAGGACTGCAAGAAGGTAGAATAGACAACGCATTTTCGTGGAGTGTGTGCGTGGGTATTATATACTGTTCCCGTAACACCTATGATCTTGCAGAATACATGACCGTTCCGCTTCAGTAGTACTGTTTGGTATGGCATTAAACTCTCTCTTTTAACGGAAAATATCATAAAATGAGTTGTTGGTCTGAAACTAAAGATTTATCAAATAAGTTTATTAAATTTTCATGAGGTAACATATTAGATATCCTCTTAAAAATATGAGAAACCATATTGCTCTTTTACGGTCAAGAATACTTATTAAGGAAGTTAGGAATCTTTATGATCATCGACGTTGGGGAGGGGGGGGGGTTGGCGGGGCGGAATTTTTGACTATTTCCAATAATTCGGAGCATTTTAAGACGAGGAACAAGAGTAGCCAAACTTGGTGTTAATTGAGAAGTCATCAGATGATTAGAACGATGACATCCTATTAATTGCGAAACATTTCTAATTGCCTAGTTTGGTTTAAGGTAATGCCATTTCGTGGATGTCAAATGTCTATTCAATTGTTTCAATTATAGATGCACCATTGCAACGTATCTAACCGAGAGAATAGTACGGGATTGGGGATCTACGTTGATGCAACACAACTTAGAGGGGCTTCTCTAATGCTTTGTGATCATTTACATAGACATTTCTCATCGAGTTCAGTTGCATCTAGCCAAAGGATCACTTAGTGATGTGAAGATTACTTTTAAGCATACTGCGAACCACTAAGATAGCAAATTGGACTGCATCAATTAGTAAAGAGAGGGGAATAGTGGATGATTCAAATGATGTGCAATGTTCACCCAAAGGTGTTGACTCTGAAACCAGGTCGATTTAATAATCCAAAAAAATTAGATCAGATTCAGCACTAGCTTCCTCAAGCATGCACTTTCTTCTCCGAGGTCGTTGAGTGTGTGGCGATTTGAGTGTATAAAGATTGTTTTCCCTATTGTCTAAGTGACACTTATGACAATGAATTGAGTAACTATCGTAGAATAAATTAAATCTAAGCAGTTGATGAGTTTCATATTTCAATGAGTTCCCACTTGTACATAGGCATATTCAAAAATGCGAAAATTGGTTAAAATGACAATTCAATTTAAATATTGGATGACGAAAATGTTAGTCGATACTTACTGTTTGATCTAATATTAGATTTAGTGACAAAGTATTGAATAATGGAATACATTAGGAATAGCCAATATTTTTGAACTAAGGAACGTCCATTCAAGTGCAATATTGACATCGACTAAGAATTTAATTGTTTTGGAAGTCTGAAAATTTAAAATATAAAACGCAATGAAGAATAGAAATATGCACGTGAGTGTTCTCTTTTGTAGAATTTCACCATGCCAATTTTTTGCTAGAGTCAAAAGTCTTGGGTTTATACTTAATGCCTCAGAGTTCATANATTTATTCATGCAAAATATTTCATCTTGTATTTGACCTAATGTGACACGTGTGGGAGTTGGGGAAAGCAGTTGACAGTACAGCATTTCAGCCTTGACTTATACGATCTCTTTGAAATGGCAAAGAAAATGAGTGATTTATGAATGAGTGTTCCAAAATTAAAAATGGCTCTTCCTTGGGGACGGATCACAAAATGAACATTTGAAAATGTCAAATTGTTCACATCTTTGTAAATTGTGATTTTCACATATCATCGTGGAGAAGCACTTCCCCCACTTCACAGAGTGGAAAGAAATACTTTCCCTCTTCCTCCTCCCTAACCATTTGGTTTTGATAATACTCAAAATGAAATGAATTATTGATTCGGGGATGTCAAAAATGTCTCTAGAATTCTAGTAAATTGATATAAAGTGATGCCTCACTTCACACAATCGGTGTCTAACGTTTATTTATTTATTTATTTATATTAAATGGCAGGCGTTTGGATAGTTTTCATGAGCCCTTTAGTTGACTACAGGCTCCACAGAGGGGTAGGAACATTTGAGTGAAAATAAGTTGAGAGTGGGTTGGAAGGGAGACAGAAGAGTGATTCAAAGTTGTATAAGAGGCAGACACAAAGGTAGAAAAAAGGTGATGCGTGAAATGTGGAAGTAGTCAAATATGACATACAGTGGGGTCATGGTGGTTTGAAATCAACTGCCACTTAATAGACTATTTTGCCGTATGAGCATACGTTGCCCAGGGAGCACCACGTGGAGGTAAGTCTATCGTACACCCTCAGTGTCGAACGTCATCCATTCACAGTTGAACCCGAGATCTTTACAATTATCTCCAACACTTGCGAAATTGTCTTGTGAAAGGGAGGTTGCTTATTGAAGAAGGTAATAAAAGGGTTGGGACACATATAGAAAACGAAATAGGCATGATAGTGGTTACTCTGAAATCTGTGATTATCGTGGCATATCAATTTTTCCCAACTGGACTGCTTGTCGAGTTGTCAAAGCAAAGTGCTGTCACTTCTGGAAATATCAACCCAATCCACAAGCCCTATAAATGACACTGCCAATAAATTTAAATTGTTTTTGCACATCAAACTCTCCACTGCAGAACCCAAGTGTAATCATTTTCTGCAATCATTTTTGGGATCGGCATTGGACACAGAGAGTGCTCAAAGACGTAGTCCAGATATCCGAGTGTGGGGAGATTCAGGTGACAATTTTGGATATCGGTTGAAGTGAGAGAAATTTCATCTTTCCACTAATTAAGGACTTCATAAGGAGTCGGGGGTAACTTGGTGAGAATATTTCCGGAATAGTTGAACTACTTATTTATTGTGAGCAGAGTATTATTTTATTTATTTGTATCAAATGGCTGGCTCTATGACAGATATCATTAACTCTTTAGTTGACTTCGGATTGTAGAGAGAGAGGTGATGTGAGTACTTTGGAAGTGTTAGAATATGACAATGAGTCGGGTCATGGAAGTTTGAAGTCAGAAATCAACTGCCGTATGAAAATACGTTGACAGCTCGGCGTTTGCGTGTGACGTTTCTCAGGAATTAGCACTTGGAGTAGCCCTGAAAAATGTCCCAAAATCTAACTTACTCGATCCTCTAAGCGATGAAGATGTCCCCTTTCGAAATAAATTTATTCAAGGCAAATTATAGTTTGCTAACCAAAAATAAACGTCAATATTAGTACCAGAGGCCTTGCAATAGTGTACTAATTTCCATTTTCGTAGGCTTATGGAAAAGCAGTTTTAATTTTATTCATTGTAAATTAATAGATCACAGCGAATGCTCGTTCAGGATGTCTGGAGGTAACTGACCGTTTAACAATCTAGATTCCTCCGTATCAGGAAAGGTAAGTTTCTTCGGGATCAATGACGATCCATGTGATATTAATGGGAACATTCGAATTTGATCATAAATTTTAATCTCCTCGTTGCAAATTCGTATTCTAACAAATGGGAATCGGATGGTGTTACGTCAGAAAGCTAGTGATAGGCTATGTGATCAAAGCTAAACTGGGAGGGTGGGGGTGCATATCCATCATATGATAAATGTCAAAACCCCACACAACGTTCTTGCAGAATACTCGCGTCAGTGGCAAGATGTGAGAAGAAAGTTCAGGCAATTTTAATGTGTCATTCGATGGAGCTTTAGCTTGTCTGTTTATTTGTACTCAACATTGATATTGTGACAATGTATCAAGTAATGGGTCACAAGGGAAACCACCAGCTCTGTTGAGGTGAAAAAAAATAAATTTAAATATGACATTGGCATTAACGTAGAAATGAGTTCATGTACAATGTGGAGAGGAGTGATGAACTTGTGTGTTTGAAATGGATGAGTTTGAATGATAAATATTGAATTATTTCTGCAAAGAGAGATATATACTTCAAGTAACTTCCGTTAATATTCATATTTTATTTTAGAACGTATATAACTCATCGATTTTTATTTGATTTCTGCAAAATATTCGAAGGACGGTTTTGGTTGCGTAACTAATCCGATAGAAGTCCCATTTCACTCCATGGTCTACACCCACTAATTTTATTAATTTTCCAGAATTTGAGCTTAAAAATAATTTTCTTAAGGTCATTGGGCAATATTTCCAATTGAATTTCATGTTGATAAATTTGTGCAATGGCAATTAACATAATGCTATTGGGTTGGCAACTAAGTCATTGCCGTTTTTGTTGACAGATTCAAAATTGGAAGGGGTATTTGAAACGAACATGTGTAAATTAATTATTTATTATTTTGACAGATGAAAGTATGACCAAATTGTTGAATTATGTATTACTAACTGGAGGGCAGTAACGATTCTTCATTGCCTCAATAATTATAATAACAACAATTGCAGCAGTAATTCCAAAAACTATGGAAATTGTAATTATGAGAAACATTGACGTATTTTCTTTCCCATCAGGTTGACCTGAAATGAGAAGTACATCAATATGTACAGACAAAGTGGAAAGCGAATTAGCAAATGATTGAAAGCATTCGCATGTTTTGAAGATACGAATCAAGGAAGTCAGAAGACTAGATTCAAAACCTTGCTTAAAATGCCAAATTGTGACAAGCCAGGGTCCTTATGCTCATAGATACTCCATGTTAGGCGTCTAAACTTCTTCCAACTCAAAATATGCAATGGAGAGGAGTATAAGCGATTGAATGTCTACATTGATGAGACATGTCTTAGAGATTTTGCTCACCTCTGCTGTGCTGTTACTGGAAGTGAGTGGACAGTAATCAAGATCACTTGGTCTTCTCATATCAGTGGTAGTACCAACCCTTACTTTAAAAT